CGCCTGCCCGGCCGACGGCCCCGCCGAGGACGAGGACGACGGCGCCAGCCACATCTTCTTCGAGCCCAGCCTGTACCACTGCCTGGAGAACTGTGGCTCGGTGCTGCTGTCTGTCACGTGCGAGGGTGGCGAGGGCAACAGCACCTTCTACGTGGACTACCGCACCGAGGACGGCTCGGCCAAGGCTGGCTCCGACTATGAGTACAGGTGGGTCGTTGCGCGCGGGGGCTCCGGGCAGGTTGTAGGCCCCCATCCCGCAGCCTTGGGGCTCATGGGTCTCCTGGTTACCTCCCACTGCGCGCACCTTTACCCTGCTGTGGGCAGACCTGCGGCCTGCCTGCCTGCTTGCCGGCCTTTTTTCATTCCTTCCTTCCTTCCTTCCTTCATTCGTTTGTTCGTTCATACATTCATTCACTCTTGAGAGCCTCCTTCATCCCAGCCACTGTTCCAAGCATTTGGCACATACCGCTGGGCAAGACAGCAGGGCCGTCGCCGTCCGCAAGCTGCCCCTCCCATGATCTGTCTATGAGTCCTTGTGCCTGACACCACACCGGATAATAGTATAGCTCCGTTATAATGTATCATCACCTGGTAGAACGGGTACCCCTCCCCCCACACACACCAGTACTAAAGTAGAAATGTTTACGGAGCCCCAGCTGTATGCCAGGGGCAGACCGTGATGAAGAAGACAGCTAACGTCCCTACCCTCTGGTGACGGTCGGGCCGAACACTATTAAACATATAACACCATCGGATGATGTAAGCGCCATGTGGGACAATTAAGTAGGGTAGGAAGAAAGGGATGATGCCCAAATCGTCCCCGGGTTTCGGCTCCGCACTAAAGCAACTCGCTGTTTGCACCCCACCGTGTGTCACTGCGTTATTCCGTCTCCTTTTTGAGCAGAGACCTGTCATCTTCCCTAAAAAAAAATATCAGATGCTTTTTTTGAAGGCTTCAACACAGAACGGTAAACAAGATAGATAACTGCTCTGTCCTCATGTGGCCCACAAAACTCTTTCGCTATGCGTTCTTCTGTCCGTACCACGCTCTTTCAAGAATCGGAGCTCTGCAGCATAGTTTGTTAACTGACGTGCAAGTCTCCCACAGTTTCCTATGACACTTATCACGCGTCTACTTTGTGTCGGAAACAGATCTGGGCGGTGGAGACCAGCAGGGAATGAATGACAAGCGTCAAGTCCCTGCCCAAACCGAGCCAACGTCCTTGTGGAAAGGATGTTCGGAAGTATCCAATGAATACATAAAAATGTCAGGGAATAGGGCGAAGAAAAATAAAGCAGAGGATGGGAGAGTGTTGGTGGCTGAGCTTGTCACGGGTTCCACCTGCTGTCGTCCACCACACCCCTTTCATCCTCTCCCTGGAGTAAAGCCGGGGCTGAGCCGTTCACAGATCTCTGGTTCTGCCATCGTGCAGATGGCGTCGTTCCTTTTAACGCCTCTCTCTGGGGCTGAGCTCTCTGTCTCACACATCTCGAGTTCTGCTGTGCCTCAGCAAAGACCTGCAGCGGCCCGGTCTCCCTTCTCTGCCTCATCGCGAATGCGTTATCTGTCCGCCGCTTCGGACATTTGTGGGTCCTTCTCTGTTCCTCGGTCAGTCTGGGTTCTTGTCTGCCCGAACCCATCCACCGCTCCTACCTGCCCCCGCCCAGACTTGTCCTGAGTGGGGCGCAGCTGTTCACGTCTCTGTTCCGTCATCCCGTAGCCCGGGATCCCTTTGGCTACCTACGCTCTCCTCCCTCCGTCTTCTCCCGGCTTCCTTTAACGGAAAAGGGCATTCGCCATCTTGCGGCTTGCTGTCACTCAGGCTCTTCACCCCTGGTCTGCACTGCCCCCATCGAAGCCTCTGGGGAGGGAAATGGGTGCAGGTGGCACCTGCTGGGATCAGAAGCTGCCTTCTTACTTGCAAATGACCTCAGGATGGAGATGCTGGAAGCGAAGGAGTCACTGCTGCCTGGCGATGGAACCAAAGAGCCGGGGAGCGTTGACACCCTCCTACCCGTCTCTGCTCCCCCATCCCAGCTGACATTCGTGGGGCTGGCATCGCTTATCGAGGTAGCTTAGGTCCAGGACTGGGAGGGAGGACGCCTGGGCTCCAGTCCAAGCTTAGCCCTGGACCCCGTTCCTTGCGCGAGTGTCTGCCTCAGTCTGGGTGGGTGGGGCTGTCGCGTACAGTTGTCGAGGTTGTGCACTGCATAAGAACACGTCTAAGGCAGCTCTGTTCACATGGTAGATAGTAACGCGTGTCTATCGTGACGGTTTTCCGATTCATGGAAATAAAGTGTCTTGAAGAAGGAAAGCCTTCTTCTAATTTGCCCACGGGTATCACATGGGCTAGGGCGGTCCTGTGGGCCTCAGTTTCTCCTAATTAAATGCGATCTCTGAAGCCCTCAAACAGCACAGTTCTCCCAAGATTCTGAGATGTAAGCCGCTGTAATCCTAACGAGCTAAGGGTCTGAGGTTCTAAGAATCCAGGATGGCCACCTTTCGGTATTCCAATCCGTACCTCAACCAGTCTCTGATGGATGGTTCGAAGGTTTTCATCGTCTCGGAGTTTGTGCATTTCGGGCCACGAGTCCTGTGACTCTAGCCTTCTATGATTCTGATACTAGGTTTCTAAAATCCTCCTGTTCTTTTCCTCCCCAGCTTTTCATTTGGGAAAACTTCACACCCACAGAAGGGCTACAAAAAGAGTTTGGCAAACCCTCACATCATAAGTTCACCCAGATTCACGAACTGTCTGTAGTTTGTCCGGACTGCATTCGCGCTGTCACTTTAGTATATAAATATTAATCATCGTGGCATTATAGGAGAGCGAGTTGCAGACAGCCTGACCCTTCACCCATAGATACTGAGCACGCATCTGTCAAAAAGAATGACGTTCTCCTACATAATGACAAGCGATCGTCACACTCAGGAAACTTAATACTAAGTCAATACTATTACCCAATCTGCCATCCATCTTTGCATTTCCTCATTTGTCCCTGTGACGTCTTTTATGGCTGTGTTTTCACTCCCTCCCTCTTTCTCTCCTCATCCAGAACCACACTGTGGTTGGCTGTCATCTTCCTTAGTCTCCCTCAGTCTGGACCAGTCCCTCGGCCTTCCCCGTGACTTGTGTGACCCTGGCACTTCTGAAGATGATGGGCCAGTTGCTAGAGTGACCCTCGGCTTGAGTCTGTCTAACGTTTCCTTGTGATTAGATCAGGCGATGCACTCTGGGCAGGAGCCCACGGAAGTGATGCTGTGTCCTCAGTGCACAGGGGGCCCGTGACGCCCGCTTGTCCCCTTACTGACGATGTCCACTTTGACTGTTTGGTAAAGATAGTGCTAAAATCCCCGCGTTCTACAGTCCCTTAAGTTTACAATCCTAAAATCCTCTAACTTGAAGATTCTAAGAGTCTAATACCACTGGCTAACTTGAGTGCTTCCCGTGTTAACTTGATCCTTATAACACCAGGAGGCACACACTATTTTTAGCTCCGTTTTACAGATGAGGAAACTGAGGCTCAGAGGGCTGCAGAATCCTAACTGCCCGAGACCATACAGCTGGCATGGCGACTGAGCCCAGCTCGGAGCAGTTTGGCCAGCCCGGCTGGGTGCTTTAGCCACCATGGACAGCAGGCCACAGCAGCAGGGAGCCCCTTGTCCGGCCATCCCGGGTCTTGTCATCTGGTTCCACGTCTGCCAGAAACTTGGAGTCCCTTGGCGTCCAGTTCTCTTGGAGAGCTGGAGCCCAGGATCTCTTTCTTATGAAAGTATTAATAGTAACAATAGTGAGCACTTATCGAATCATATAGCACATTTCAGAACCTGTGCCAAGCCCCTGATGTGCATGGTGGGAGGGGCTGGGAGGAGATATCATAGACTTGCGAGACGCAGTAACCTCCAAGAGTCACTTGGATGTCTACAGCCCTGCCAGAAGGAGCCCACTCATTCCCAGTCCCCTCAAAGTTTCACCCTGACTAATCTAATGTCACTGCCTCATCCCTTCCCCCGCCCCATTACACAGCATCTTGTGTGTGCTTCAGAGACTTAAACAAACAACTGAACCCCTTCTAAACCTAAGCCAGCTCGCGTCCTTTCTCTGCTCAGAGGCCTCCCGTGGTTCCCGTCTCCCTTGGAGTAAACGCCGAAGTCCTCACTGTGGCCCGCCAAGGCCTGTGACATCATCTCCCGTTCCCTCTGTGATGTTATTTCCCACCCTCTGCAGCCACACTGGCCTCTCTGCTGATCTTCAAACACGCCAAACCCTTTCCTACCTCAGGACATTTGCACTGGCTGTTCCCTGTACCAGGAATCCTCTTCTCCAGATAGCCCCCACGTGGCTCCCTTGCTCAGGTCTCTGCTCAAATGTCACCTCCTCAGACAAGCTTTTCCCGACCACCCTAACACGGCGCCCTCGCCTCGCTCTCTACCCTCCCACTCCATTTTCCTTCATCGCGCTATCACCGCCTGGCATCGTATGTTTGTTTATTACTCATCTCCTGCCCTGGAACAGAAGCTGCACCCAGACAAGAATTTTCCTCTGATCTGGTTCTACTGCTGTTTCCCCAACACTAAGAACAGTGCCTGGCACACAGCAGGTGCTTAATAAATATTTGTTGAATGAGCCGACTGTAATTAAATCATTAAATGTGTCATTGTCACTGAGCTATGGCTCTGCCATGGGGATGCGAGCCCCGTGAAGACAGAGGCCGTTCACCGCTGTGTTCCCAGCACTGCCCGGCACAGGACCCGAAGCAGGTGCTCAGGGAGTGTTTGTTGAGTGAATGAATGAATGCCAAGTTAAGGAGTGAGGTCTCTCTGTTGGGGCTACCTGGGAAGGCCGAAGGGTTTATAAGAAGCATGACGAGGCCAGTTCTGGGCCTTAAATCACATCCACTCTAAGTGTGGTCCACGTACGGGGACCATCTGCACTCCTTGGGAGCTAATTAGAAATGCAGAGTCTTGAAACTTAGAGCTACCAAATCAGAATCTGCATTTTCACAAGATTCCCCCAGAGGATTCATGTGCACTCTGAGGTTTGATAAGTGTGGCTGTGGAACCCTCCAGGCCCCCTCTCCACCCTGGGACTTTGCCTCTGCCTGGAGCACTCCTGCCCACTAAAGCCTCCCCCAGGAAGCCCGCCCTGATCTTACCTTCATCATTATCTGTATAATACTGGCCCTTATAATACTCGTGGGTTCCACGGGGGTGTAGGGGAGGGGGTACCAAATCTGTCTCGTTCCCCCTCCTGCACCCCTCCTCCAGGAAGCCCACCCTGATTCCCCCTCGATATTCTTTGTTTAATGCCTGTCCACTCTCTCGCTGGCGAGTCGTCGCGTGGCGCCGCCCCCCTCCCTCGGCTGTTGACCGCACGCCCTTCGCCCCTTTCTCTCCCGGTCCTCCACTGCAGCGAGGGCACGCTGGTGTTCAAGCCAGGCGAGACGCAGAAGGAGCTGCGCATCGGCATCATCGACGACGACATCTTCGAGGAGGACGAGCACTTCTTC